GAGCTCCCTATGGGGCTACGAAACGCTGCCCTGGGTGGGGGAACCGCATGCGAACACCCCCACTGGGGCCTTCGGTGGAGCTCCCTATGGGGCCACGAAACGCTGCCCTGGGTGGGGGAACCGCATGCGAACACCCCCACTGGGGCCTTCGGTGGAGCTCCCTATGGGGCCACGAAACGCTGCCCTGGGTGGGGGAACCGCATGCGAACACCCCCACTGGGGCCTTCGGTGGAGCTCCCTATGGGGCCACGAAACGCTGCCCTGGGTGGGGGAACCGCATGCGAACACCCCCACTGGGGCCTTCGGTGGAGCTCCCTATGGGGCCACGAAACGCTGCCCTGGGTGGGGGAACCGCATGCGAACACCCCCACTGGGGCCTTCGGTGGAGCTCCCTATGGGGCCACGAAACGCTGCCCTGGGTGGGGAACCGCATGCGAACACCCCCACTGGGGCCTTCGGTGGAGCTCCCTATGGGGCTACGAAACGCTGCCCTGGGTGGGGGAACCGCATGCGAACACCCCCACTGGGGCCTTCGGTGGAGCTCCCTATGGGGCCACGAAACGCTGCCCTGGGTGGGGGAACCGCATGCGAACACCCCCACTGGGGCCTTCGGTGGAGCTCCCTATGGGGCCACGAAACGCTGCCCTGGGTGGGGGAACCGCATGCGAACACCCCCACTGGGGCCTTCGGTGGAGCTCCCTATGGGGCCACGAAACGCTGCCCTGGGTGGGGGAACCGCATGCGAACACCCCCACTGGGGCCTTCGGTGGAGCTCCCTATGGAGCCACGAAGCGCTGTAATGGGTGGGTGAAACGCAGAGAGGAGGAGAGGGAGGAGGGAGGAGAGGAGGAGGGGGAGGAGGAGGAGAGGAGGAGAGGAGGAGAGGAGAGGACGCGGGCACCGTCTCTTCAAAACGAGGACCCAACACCACAGGATGGTTGGGAACGATACAAGTTGCACGTTGCGGCAAGAGTGTGGATCATGCGCGGGCACCAAGTGATCACATGGCTTTGTTTTTCCCAACCCTCCTGCGTTGGGTTCTCGTTTTGAATAGAGCACTGCTCGCGCCTTCCCGCCCCTCTCTTCGCCCTTGCCTTTTGCCTCGCTCGTCGCTGCGTGCCAGCTGGGGGGCTGCGATCTGTGAAACTGTCGCCACTTTCGAGGCCTGCTGGGGGGCCCAGCACAGTGGCACCACGGGCGGATTCAAATGGGACCTCGCCATCCCTGGGGGGCTGCGATCTGTGAAACTGTCGCCACTTTCGAGGCCTGCTGGGGGGCCCAGCACAGTGTGCACCCGCGGCGGATTCAAATGGGACCTCGCCATCCCTGGGGGGCTGCGATCTGTGAAACTGTCGCCACTTTCGAGGCCTGCTGGGGGGCCCAGCACAGTGTGCACCCGCGGCGGATTCAAATGGGACCTCGCCATCCCTGGGGGGCTGCGATCTGTGAAACTGTCGCCACTTTCGAGGCCTGCTGGGGGGCCCAGCACAGTGTGCACCCGCGGCGGATTCAAATGGGACCTCGCCATCCCTGGGGGGCTGCGATCTGTGAAACTGTCGCCACTTTCGAGGCCTGCTGGGGGGCCCAGCACAGTGTGCACCCGCGGCGGATTCAAATGGGACCTCGCCATCCCTGGGGGGCTGCGATCTGTGAAACTGTCGCCACTTTCGAGGCCTGCTGGGGGGCCCAGCACAGTGGGTACCCACGGCGGATTCAAATGGGACCTCGCCATCCCTGGGGGGCTGCGATCTGTGAAACTGTCGCCACTTTCGAGGCCTGCTGGGGGGCCCAGCACAGTGGGTACCCACGGGCGGATTCAAATTAGACCTCGCCATCCCTGGGGGGCTGCGATCTGTGAAACTGTCGCCACTTTCGAGGCCTGCTGGGGGGCCCAGCACAGTGGGTGCCCACGGCGGATTCAAATGGGACCTCGCCATCCCTGGGGGGCTGCGATCTGTGAAACTGTCGCCACTTTCGAGGCCTGCTGGGGGGCCCAGCACAGTGGGTACCCACGGCGGATTCAAATGGGACCTCGCCATCCCTGGGGGGCTGCGATCTGTGAAACTGTCGCCACGTTCTTACCTCGCTCGTCGCTGCGTTTCGAGGGCTGCTGGGGGCTGCGATCTGTGAAACTGTCGCCACTTTCGAGGGCTGCTGAGCTTGTCCCAAGTAGCTTACATATCAAACAACGGATCCTGCAATTTGATTGTCCGTGCAAGTTTCGGCCAACTCCTCGTTTCCCATGATACAAATGGGTTGGGTACGTCACAGGGTAATTGGGCTAGGACGGAAGGGGGGCCAGCATATGTCCTGCAGCGCGCAGGCCCATCATCCCTGTCAAAAAGCAATACAGACAGAAGCCATGCGCCAGCCTATGGCACGACGCTTGGGCAGAAACGTATACACAGCTTGAGAGCTGCACTCGCCCTGCGCTTCGGCGGGCCTCAGATGCGCCGACGCGAAGACGAAGCAAGGCGCGAACTTGTACTCACGCTGAGCCCAGTGCAGCTCAGGACGGCCGCGCTTCCGCAGCGGGTGCCTCTGTCTTGGCGCAACGGTCCCTGGCCAACGAGGAGGAGGAGGAGGAGAAGGAGGAGGAGGAGGAGGAGGAGGCGGAGGCGGAGGCGGAGGCGGAGGAGGAGGCGGAGGCGGAGGAGGAGGCGGAGGCGGAGGAGGAGGAGGAGGAGGAGGAGGAGGAGGAGCAGGAGGAGGAGGCTGAGTACATGCTCCGGCCGCGCTCCTGCGCGGCAGCCCCGCGATCACCTTGCACTGCTGCTTGAGAGGGACGACGGGGGCTGCCCTGTAGCACGCGCGGCGCACCTCGCGGGCGTCGCGCACCTGGCTGGCGTCTGCAGCGGTTCCCGTCGGGGTTGGACAGACCCCCCTTTAGTAAAACGTGGTTTAGTGAAAACGACCTGAGGCCCAAACCTGGCGGGCGCAAGCCTGGAAAATAACGGCCACGGCGCCCCATCGAGAACCGAAAACGGACAATTCACTAATCGACGTGTCACTATTGGGGGTTCTGTCCACCTCCGATCCCGATCATGATCGACAGCGGCCCCTGCCCGTGCTGAGATTCGAGTGCTACTCATGTGATGGGAGGCCGGGTTGCAGTGAGCGAGACGGCAGTCCTTGGGGGGGGGGGCTTGACCCCTTCCCTTACCCCCATACCCTGGGCCTGGACGGCCGCCCCGCGCCAAGGTGTCTTGAGATGGCTCCAAGATGGCCTCACAGACCAAGATGGCCTCCGAGATGGCTCAAGAGATCCCAAGACGACTCAAGATGGAAGCCAAGATGCCTCCAAGAGACCCCAAGGACCCCCCCCTCCCCAAAACGGCTCAAATGGCACGAAAGCTCACAAGGACACCCACGAGAGGCCCAAATCCGCCCAAAACCCTAAGAAAATCTATATTCCGTTGGACTCTTGAGACCTAAAGATGATTTCAGGACGGCCCAAAAGATCCTCAAGGGAGACCCAAAGGCTACTTTTCAGGCTCAAGAAAGGCAGCCCTGATAAAGGACCCACCTTCGCTCAATGCCAAGACCACCAAGAGAGCCCCAAGAGGGCCCCGAGAGGCCAAAATCGTTAATTTTACGATAGTTTTTGACAGATGTTGGTATTTTCGCCTTTTTGGCTTTCCAACGCTCCAAGACGGCCCAAGAGGGCCCCAAGACCGCCCCAAGACGGCCCAAGAAGCCTCCAAGAGGGCCCCAAGACGGCCCGAGATGGCCCAAGACAGCCGAAGAAGCGCCCAAGATGGCCCAAAAGAGCCCCAAAACGGCCCCAAGAAGAGCCCAAGACGGGGACCAGGAACCGCAAAGTCCAGCCTTCAGCCCCACGAGGCCCCCAAGAGGCCCCAAGAGGTCCCCAAGAGGCCCCCTAAGAGGCCCCACGGGGCCTCCAAGAGGCACCCCAAGAAGCCCCAACAGGCCCCCAACAGGCCCCCAAGAGGCCCCAAAAGGCCCCAACACGGCCCCCGAGAGGCCTCAAAACTGCCTCCCAGAGGCCCCCAAGAGGCCCCAACGCGGCGGCGAGGCAAGATGGGCCGGCAGAATGAGCGAAGCGACTAAATCAAGGACCCACATTCGTTCAATGCCAAGATCATTAACAAAAGAAGTGCTGAAATAGTTTGGCATGTCAGAGGTATTTGTGGGAGGCCTTGGGGCCAAAAAGGCTCCAATATGGCTCCAGATAGCTCAAGATGACATCCAAGATGGCGAAAGATGGTCCAGGAAGGCTCACGTTGTCCTCCCAAGATGCTGACAAGGTGCCTTCAAGAGACCCCAAGACCGCCACAAGACGCCGCGGAGCCCCCCAAAGAGGACCCCAAGATGCTCCTGCAGAACCTAAGGAAACCCAACGACGTTGGAACTCTCCAAGATGGCTCAAGAGCAGGGCCCAGAAGGGCATCAAGACGACCCCAAGAGCGCCCAAGAGCGCCCCAAGAGTACCCCACGAGGGCCCCAAGCAGGCTCCAGAGGGGCGGCGCTGTCGGGGGATCTCCCCTTCTTTGACCGATGGCGTTCAAAATGACCCGCAGAGGGCTCTCAAGGCTTCCGCAAGGACCCCTAGATAGCCCCAAGAGAGCTCCAAAAGGCCTCCAAAATTGCACAGAAAGATCCACAATATGGCCCAGGTAAACTGCCAAGAGGCTCTCATATCGAAAGACCCGCAGAGGCATATATGATTGAGTGTTTCACTTGTTTGCCAACGCACCTCTGACGTGCACGGCGCTTCGCTCTCTCTCTCTCTTTCTCTCTCTGGCATTGGTCTGCTCAAACTGAGCCTGAGCTTCGAATTGACAGCTGCCCCAGCGCTTTGGTCCACTGCTTGCTCCTACACATGCCTGAAAAAAGGCAACTCGCCTGGGCATCGTGTCCGGATGGGCTGGTGGAGATACCTGTGGGGCCGCGTCATGGAAGAATGCTTCGGCCTTCCGATATCGACTCATCGTCATGACCTACCCTGTGAGCTGTTGAGGGCTTCATGGCGTGGAGAATCACAGAAATGCGTGGTTGATGCGGACTATGCCTATGTACAGCTGCGCTCCCTGAGCCGGAGCATTCCTCCAAAAGGGCTGCCGGGTGCATACCTCTCCCGCCCGCGCTGAGAGCCGCCGTGCGTAAGGCCCCGCCTTCTTCGCGTTTGACCAACCGTTGTGCCAGTTCATGAGGCCCTCCTCGCACTCGAACTGGCTCGCGCCATCCTCGCGGCTGGACGTGACTTTGGAAGAGAAACAGGACGGAATGGCCGATGCAGCTTCCTCTCGCTCTTCCGCTCGGCTGGTGCGCGGCAGGCAGCCAGACCTCAAGGATGCCGAGCGAGCAGGAGTACGCGCGGGAGGGTGTGCTGACTGCATCGGCCTCACACCAGGCGCACAGCATTCTGAACATGCACGATCCATCTCCTCTGGCCTCTGATTGCTGCAGTCCCACGTGGATGCAGTGGTCAGCGAGGGACATGCTTGACCGTCGTCCTCGCAGCACTTCTCCTCTCCTATTACAACCACCTCGTAAGTCAGTCGTAAGTTGGGGGGGAAGATCGAGGTGAAACAGAGTCCCCCGACGGGGAAATCGATGTCGGTTTCGGTGCGTGTCGTTCGTGACGTTCGTGCGGGCGAGGCGAAAATGCGCGAGGGTGAGGCAGACCCTGGCATAGGGCAAGTTGACATCAGAGTGTTCCTCCCTGGCCGCCAGGCGGCGGCTCCTGGTGGTGCCACGAATGTCCCGTGGTTGCCCCGCAGTTGTCCCATGGTTGTTCTGATGTTATTCGCGCTTCTCCCGTGGCTGTATTGCGGTTGCCCCGCGGTTGTCTCGTGGCTGTCCTGTGGTTTTCCCGCGCTGCCCCGTGTCTGTTATGCAGTTGTCCAACGGATGTTCCCTGGCTGTCCTGTGGTTGTCCCGTGGTTGTCCCGTGGTTGTCGTCGTCGCCGTCGTCGGTCGTCGTCGCCGATGATGCATGTCGGTCGTAATCGGAGATCGGGGGATATGATCAATATGAAACGGAGCCCCCGAACCGGGAAGTCACGGCTTCGGTGAGCGAATTAAACGGGTTTGATTCGCCACGTGCGTGACGCATGCGCCGGCGAGGCGAAGCTGCGCGAGGGCCAGAGCGAGACAAACTCGTGCCTCGTGACGGAAGGTTGCAATCAAGTTGATTTGGCCCCCCGGGCGAGCGGTGGCTCCCGCGGTTGTCCCGCTGTTGTCCCGCGGTTGTCCCGTGGTTGTCATATGGTTGCTTGTGTGGCTGTTTTGCTGTCGTCCCACGATTGTCCCGTTGTTATCCTGTGGCTGTCCCGTAGGTGTCCCCTTGTTGTCCAGCGGTTGTTATGTGATTGTCCTGTGGTTGCTCCGTGGTCGGTCCGAGGTTGTCCTGCGGTTGTCCCGTGGTTTGCCTGTGATTCTACAATGGTTGTCACGTGGTGGACCCGTGGCTGCTTTACGGTTGCCCCGCGGTTGTCACGTGGTTGTCCTGCGGTGTTGCCCATCGGCTGTCCCGTAGTTAGATCGAAACACAGGTATGGTTAAATAGGGAGATCGATCGATATCGACATCTTTATATAGATAGATCGCGACTCCGATCCGACGCCAATCGCAGACCGAAAGCTCTACCCATCCCCCCTCCAATCTCCTTATTGCCCAGAGGGTGGCCATATCGGCAAACAGATCGTTTCCCTGTCGTCCTCCTCCTCCTCCTCCTCCTCCTCCTCCTCCTCCTCCTCCTCCTCCTCCTCCTCCTCCTCCTCCTCGGGGGGCACGACATGAGTGAGGGGTGTGCCGAAGTGGGCGGAAGGGAGGGCGGCACGCGCCCGCACCCACAGGGGTCGCAGGTGGAGCTCCCAGCGGTGGGGGGCAGGACTCTTGTGAGGCCCGTCCCGAAATCGGCGGTGGAACGAGGGCGAGGAAGAGGGAAGGAGGGGTGGAAGGAGGAGGAGAAGGAGGAGGCGGAGGAGGCGGAGGAGGAGGCGGAGGAGGGCGAGGAGGAGGAGGCGGAGGAGGAGGCGGCGGGGGGGAAGGGGGAGGAGGAGGCGGAGGAAGACGAGGAGCAAAAAGAAGACGGGCGGCGCAGCGGAAATGCCACGAGGATCCAGCACTGGTTGGGGAAAACCGACCAACTCGGTGTTGCTCGCCCCACAAGAGCGTCTTCCGAAGGGGCCCCCGCGGTGGCCACGAGGGCGCACCGAGAGGGAAGGCCCATAGGAGGCCGAAAAGCATCGAACCACATCTATCCTCATCCTCCTCCTCCGCCTCCTCCTCCCCATCCGCCACCACCTTACTCCTCCTCCGCCTCTCTCCTCTCTCCTCCCTCCTCCCTCCTCGCTCCCCTATGGGCGGTTGACGTCGTTAGGCTGCTGGGTTTTTGCATTTCCCCAAGTTTCCCTTCAGCGCGTGTGGATTCCGGTCTCTTCTATCCCAGTATCGCTCCCCGGCCGTTCCCAGAAGTTCTGAGTGGGGCGAGGCACACGTCGTGCCCATTCGTCCGGCAGCTTCTTCTGCAGACAGGTAGTGCCCTGATTCCAGCTAGCTCCCCGTGCTACTTGTTGAGGCACAGTGATGCAATGCCCTAGCAGAATATTCAGCAAAAACCATCATCGCTCGTCCATTTTCTCTCCCTCCTCCTCCTCCTCCTCCTCCTCCTCCTCCTCCTCCTCCTCCTCCTCCTCCTCCTCCTCCTCCTCCTCCTCCTCCTCTGGGCCCGCGTCCTGCACGAGGTCCACGGTGGAGCTGCACCCCTTGCCCCAGTGCGCGCAGCACCAGTCCTGCTTGGTCTGGCTCCACTTGGTGCTGCGGGGGGCGCCACCCCGAGGAAGCAGCCGGCTCCCGCTGCCGCGGGCTCAGGTTCCACGCGCTGCCGTGGGCTCAAACAAGCCAGGCTCGAGCTGCAAGCCGAATAGCCTCTTAAAGCTGGACTCACCGCGCAACCAGCGAATACAATTCAACCTGGGAAAAAAGGTCCGAACCTCTTTGTCACCATGTGTTCGTTTGGAGGGCAAACAGGGCAGATCCCTGAAAAAACACCCGATCTGGGGGTCCACCTCTCGAGATAGCGTTGCGCATGCCAGAGGAATGTTCCAGCACGGCGCTCGAACATCCGACCGAAGTCCGTCCGACATCCAAGATCTGGAAAGACAGATCCCTCGGATCGGATATCTCTTGTCGGGGCTCGAGAAAAAAGGCTGAACCCGTCACCAAAGATGTTATGAAAAAAGGATCTGACCTGACGCAGGCTGCGATCAGCAGGACCGACGATAGAAAAAGGAGGGGGCGAGCAAGAGAGCTGGGACGTGGATGATAATGACGAGGACGAACGATAGCAGGGGGCCAGGAATGGGAAGTGACAGGTGTGCCGAAACGAGCGCGGCAACGTGCGACCGCACACTGGGGCCTTTGGTGGAGCTCCAAACAGAGGCCACGCACGAAGCGCGTGAGGCGTGTGCCGACACAGGCGCGGAAGGATGGACTCGGCTTGCGCCGGGGCTTTGTTTTCTTGCTACACGCGGGGCGGAAGGGCGAGGAGGAAGAGGAGGAGGAGAGAAGGAGGAGGAGGAGGAGGAGGAGGAGGAGAAGGAGGACGACGACGACAACGACTGGGAGGAAGAAGAGGAAGGAGAGGAGGAGGAGCAGGAGGAGGAGGAGGAAGAGGGGGAGGAGGAAGAGGAAGAGGATGATGATGGAGAGGATTGAGCGTCCCATGAAGAAGACGAGAAGAGGGCAGGCGGACAAGAAAGCGAGAAAAGGGCAGCAAGTCCAATTCCCCACGCACGCCGTCACCCTCTCAGAATATCGATGAAAAACGAATCCAAGTTCAAATTCTGAGATTCGCGAACAGGCAAAACGACGAAGTGTCCGGAACAGGTCTCCCAGGACACTTCCATAAATCCAAGACACCTGCCGGAGGAGGGCGGCGGCGTCGGTCGTTGCCACTGCCCCGCAACTGGCCTTCATGAAGCAAAGGGTCAGCGGGGCCGACGTCCGATCGCGATCGCGTGAGGCATTGAAGGCGGACAGGAGCAGGTCAGAGAAGGGCCCGAGAGAATGCAACTGCCGACGACTACCGGAAAAGATCTTGTGGAGCAGCATTCGGTGCAAAGTGGGGATATCGGAAAACCAGGCTGGCAGGCTAGGAGCAAGCTGACTCAGGGCGTTCAGAGCTACAGGACGTTGATAGTAGTGCCGCATCATACTTCCTCCCATCGCCAAACATCCAAATCGACAAATTCCGATCCTCCCATCCTTCCGTGTGTCTAAACCTACGAATTGTACGCCAAACATTGCATATGGCCTTCTCGGTGGAGGCCTTGTGGCCGAGAGGGGCCAAGGGAGAGCGTTAAGCGCTCGCGGGCACACCGGCCGCTCGTTGAGCCAAAATTGCGACGGAGGAAGATGATGGAGAGAAGGAGAAGGAGAAGGAGGAGAAGGAGTGATGGATGAGCTGAGGCAGGAGGAGCAAAACAAATAAACGATGATACTGAAGATGATGATTAGCCTCCGAAGGGGCGCCCCAGGACTGCTCAAGAGTGGTCCCAACAAGGCCCCAAGAGGGCCTCGATAAAGGCCCAAGAGGAATCAAAATCAAGTCACGGGAGCGACATGGTAGAAAACGTCGACTCGCACCGACAAGCATCGAGAGGCTGCCGAGAAAGCCCCGAAAGGCCCCCAAGAGAGCTCGAAAGAGGCCACGGAGGAGCCCTCAGCGGGGTCTAGCACGGCCCACATCATGGGGCCCAAGGGAAGTCAAAATGTGGCAGCACAAAGGGGGATGGAAAGGGGGGGAAGGGTAATAGGAAGGCTATGCTATGCACTGCAGTGCGAGCGATGAAGCATACGCTCTGCAGTACAATGCTACGACGCACGATGAAAATGATATGAAATGCTGTACAATGCTATGTTAACAATGCATTGCCATGCTATACAAGGCCATGAAATGCTATGCAATGCTGCGCAACGGTATGCAATGCTAGAACACAACTCAATGAAAGGTGCCATGCTGCGCTGTGCT